GGTGGATTGGAAAGCGACTTTGAATATTGTTCACAACGGGCAGACACCAAGGAGTCTCTTCGCCAGCCCTGCGGACTGTCAAAAACGTGCACATCGAACGAAAAAAATACATGGCATGCTCCCGACACTGTCATACATGAAGAACTGGCGGGCCAGATCTATATGACACCGACATTTGCAGGATGTGTGAGCTGGAGGTCGAGGACGTTGAGCATATATGGACATGTGCAATCTCTAGGGGCGAACAGTTGGAAGGCTGAACCAAGGCGGTGGAAGAAGTGAACGAGAACGGACAACGCGCTTGGGCAGAGGAGAGAAAGCAATGGGAGGCGAAGAAAAAAAGCGAGGAGAGCCGAGGACAGCAGCCAAGCACGAAGAAAGGACCGCAGTTCACCGCACTGGCAGAGACGACCATCTGGAGGATGCTTGAGAGAGAGATCAAAGGAGCGACGGCAATCCGATACGCGGACGAGAACCTTGACGAGACAGACGAAAGCAGGCACAGCAGTGAAGCAAGTTGGACCGTTCAGGATTTGTACCATGGACTGGTACCAAAGAACTTTACTACGAAATGGGCAGAAGCGTTCAAGACGTCAAAGTCAGTCGCAAGGTACATGGTCGCGCGCCTTGTCAGGAAGGTGTGGGTAAGATGTGGGATGATAAAGGTGGGAGAGCGAAGGTCGAGGATGGAGAATGAAGGTATAGAGAGGAGTGAAGGTGAAGGAAGAAAGAGCTGGTGAGGTAGTCTGTATATACTGTATATATGATATAGATGGTCCCGTACAGCTATATCGCCCCGATTGGTTTCACAATGCCAATTTTTGGTGGACTTGGCGACCAGCATACGCTACTCCTGTGCAGCTATACCGCTCTAATCGGTGCCTGGATGCTCATCCGTCTGCATCCACAAGACCAATTTTTGGCGGACTTGGCGACCAGCACACGCTACTCCCCTGCAGCTATACCACTCTAATCGGTGCCTGGATACTCGTCCGTCCACATCCATCCATCCATGCAAAAAAAAAAAAAAAAAAACCGCACCCAAACTAGTCCCAACTACATAGTATCGTTACATCCTATACCTCATGTGAAGAGATCCTGAGATGCGAGAGTCCAAACGTTGGAGGATCCGGGCGCGCCACATCGTCCTGTGCAGAGATCAATACTCTTTTCTTTTTCTTCTCAGTACTGTCATTCAGTAAAAATGGTCCTTGCTCGGATACCAGGGCTTCTACAGCAGACTCCGGTCGGGAATTCATAGCATAAATTGAAGTACACGCAAAATACATGGTGTGTAGATTGACACTGTGCAGGATGACAGAAGACCCCATAGAAACCACCAAGATGCACTTATAAATATGGCTCACGGTGTCCACGCCACGCATGATTCCACTGAATCATTACACTTCCCTTGCTTCATAACACGCATTCTATTCACTCTATGTCAGCGCTTAGCTCCCGTGAGGTCAAGAACCACGGGCCCGAGTTTCCCAGCCCGCAATGACAGAGTGTCCAAATCGGTCAAGAACTGCTCCACTTCAGATTTCCAGCGATTGTTGATGGCGGTAACATCCATTGCGTATCGAAACCACCAATCAACGGATGTATCACTCAAGAACAACGAGTCGCGACTCTCACAGCCATTTCGCTATCCGCCACTGTCCAAAAAGCCCACGAGATGCTCGTTGCAACGCGTGAATTGCCAGACGGCGACAACAAGAAACCTTGCGGTGTCGCTATTTCAGACTTCACTTATTTGAGTAGAGACACTGTTATGGAGCTATGCCACATTTTTAGCATAATGGGTTTCACCACGCTTCTTCGTGATATGCTGGATTGGGTGAAGGAAGAGATCCAAGTTCACGACTCCAATTTTGCAACCTGGTTCTATAGCGAACTGCTCAACACGCCTGGTATAGTGGAAAGTGTATTCAAATCTGCTGTTGGACTGCTATCGACTCGGAGTGTCCTATATCTCAAGAGAGAGGATTATATTGACGACGAAGCTATCCGGGTTATGCTGGAACTCTACGCCGTCAACTACGCTCAGGACGGTCGAGACCTTTTCATTCCTCCATTGCGATCTGAGCTGTGGAGGAGCAGCAACAGGTACGCTAAGGGCACATGGGATTGGCAAAAAGAAGATGTCGCTCCAGGGAGGTTCAAGAGAGCCTTTGCGGTGGTCCAGTTGGGAGACCGCTGGGGAGTGCTCATGGTCGACTTCACTCACAAGGAGTTGTCATTTGGCGATTCTCTGTTATACAACTGCCTGATTGACGCGGTAACTGCTATTATGAAGTAGTTGAAGCATTGCGGAGAGAGAGTAACTGAATGGGACAGATCTGTGGGCAAATTCCATGTCGCTAAGCAATCTTGTGGAAGCGGGTCTTGTGGAGTTAACGCATTCAATGCTATTGAGTGCGCCATCAATCCTGAGGTAGAGCTTTGGACTCACGAACGATCCGCTTATCACCGCATCCGGATGCTCAAACTGGTGACCGGATACTCTCTTGTAAGTTCAAGCTGATGGAGCTCATACTAGCTGATAATTGGTTCCAGGACGATCATATTAATGGCGATAATATCTTCTAGCGGTATGGAGAGCCAACCTTGCGTGTACCCATCAACCGCGACTCCTACAATCCTCCTGGCATCGAAGCGCTTGGAAGGTTGAGTCATGATTCTGCTCCGTGCGTCCCGCATTCTGTCCTAGAACTCGAACATCAATTCAACGAGTGCCCAACTATTGATCCAACAGTCTGGCAATCGACCGATTAATGGGACAAGTTCGAACAGGCTGACGATAAACAGCACGGATCATCATTTTCGGAATCAGACGATGGAGAGATTGGTACAGACGAAGGGCCTACTCCTAGTGGACCTCAACCAGTGGAAGAAGGGGAGGGGCAATCATGCCTGGATATCGTTTCTCTTCTGCTGGATTCGGAGGGTGTACAGGACAATCATTCAGTACCAGAAGATCAGTCATGGGTACCCACACTTCACTACACGTTTGAGAGCTACGAAGAGGCAAAGGATAAAATCCGTGCCTGGGGATTTCGTATGGGTTTCAGCCTACCGGCGCACCAAGTAGATCTCAACGGCTCTCCAGGTCGTTCACCTCGAGGTATGACGCAAAAAAAAAAAAAGAAAAAAAAAAAGAAAAAGAAAAAAAGGCGCTAACCACCACTACCTTACCCTCAGCGATGTTTGTTTGCGAAAGGTCCTTAATATATGGGCCCCAAAAACTCGCCGATCCCCTTGCGCAGCGAAACTCTTCCTCAAAGCGCATCAGTTGCCCGTTTCGTCTCACCATCAGATCGCCGAGTGCAATCTCGCCTGCATGGTATATCGCTACGCTAAGCGAGACCCATAATCACGGCTTGCAGCCAGATTTCCAGCATCTGAGTTGTGACCGAACGAGGCTTGATCAAGGGATGCACGCCAGGATTGCCTCTATCGTGGAGGGAAACTTCACTTTGTATCAGCATATCTACCTGCTTCAACAGTAATTTCCGACAATGGAGTTCAGCCGTCGGGTGGTCAGCAATGCGATCCAAAAAGCGAAAAGATCCAAGCCAGGACTTGTCGCATATCTCACCAGAGTTCACTGTATATTTATTTTAACAAGTGCACCTCCAGCTCACTATTATATTTAATACAAATAAACACCTAATCGGTGTGGTGTGTGGAGCCGCATCTCTTTCTCACTCATTTCTGAATCCAAAAATATCTCAGGACTCAAGGATCTTTTAGAGGGTGCTGAGTTGGTCAAAATGTTGGAGCAGGAAAAGTGCAAGGATGACAATTGGTTCTACAAGGTGGAGTGTGACGAAGATGACCGACTACAAAGGATTTTCTGGATGAGCCCAACTCAACGTATCATATACGGTCGATATCGAGATGTCATGGTGAACGACAACACACTGAGCACAAATCGCTTCCACATGTTTTTCAACGCCTCAGTGGTCGTGGACAGTGATGGAAAGACGCGTTTGGTGACATGCTCTTTGATCAGGAACGAGACAGTAAATGACTATTCATGGATCTTGCAAGCATTACTGGAGGCAACCGACAACAAGGCTCCTGGGGTTATAATGGTGGACGGGGATGCGGCAATGGAGGGAGTGAGAAGTATATGGGACGATAAGTTTGTGAAAAACAATATATCCTTTTAACAGTGACAGATCGTGCCTTATATACTAGAGGATAGCTATAAATGCATCTAGTATAGGGAACTAGGGACATAGGGGAAAGTCCCAGAGGCACAGTGCGCTTCATAAAGGATCGGTACCGAGTGCTGGTGAATCCAAGGAAAATAGGGTGCTCTATATAAGCAAGACAATGTGGTGAATACACCACAGAGAGAGCAACCGTGCCAAGGTTTGGTCACGGAAGCAATTACACTTTTACAACAAGGCACACGAATCTCTAGCCACACCAACAGTTCTTCGTCGAAACAAGATCAACAACACCCATCCATAGGCTCTTTCTTACTCAGTTAAGTCGATCCATGTACTTTATTGTGAGGAGTGAGATCCCACTAGAAGGGAAACATCGACATGATTGTTACAAAATCATCAGCAAAACTGCCGCGGTTATATCTAAGGCTTGCTGCAGCTGTATGATCCCTTTGGGGGCCAAGGATTCTTGGGGTCACGGTAGCCCGGCTTGCACTTGATGCGGCCGCCAGACTTGGAGCAGCAGGCTTTGTAAGCTTCAACCGAAGAGTCAAAGTCCGGAGTGTCGCAAACGTTTTCGTACATGCTGCCTTTAGCAACGATACAGCACGAAGCGTCATACTTGGGGTTGAAGCACGAGCAGATTCCATATTCGATCAATTGGTCTTGAGCTTTGATGGTCGAGACCGTAGCCAACAGCACGGCGAGGCAAGCAATTGCGAAACGCATGTTGATTGTGAGCAAGGGTTCTTGAAAAAGATAAGAAAGAAGGATGAGCGCGATGATGATGGGTTGAAACAAAAACAAGACCCTTTTAATAAATACTTGGTTCTTATCATGTTTGGCCAAGCGAAGCTATTTTTTACCTCGCTTGCGGACGGCGCTAACTAGGGGCCCAGCCTAAATATATGACTGCGCACATCTGTCGAAGTAACTCGTTGCTAATGATGTCGTATGATGCAAGCGCGAGCCGGACGAATAGGGATGCAGAAACGTCCGAGCCTCTCGACTCGTCGTCTATTTTGGAAATGGGCGTCCGCCATTGTATGCATCGGCATGCATATTCCTGGGAATGCAGTGCCACACCGGGAGAATACTTGGGAAATGCCCGGCGCTGGGCACAAGAGAGTAGCATGATCCTTTCACCTCCCCAGAAATCATCCCAAAACTACTACAACACCTCATTGAACTTCAAAACTCTCTCTCAGGAGGCTTACACTGATGTAAAGCCCTCGGCCAATGCGTCCTCAGACACAGCCCAGCTCGTCAAGGTTAGCCATTCTTGAATCGCTTTCAAACATGTTGGTTCAAGTATGCGTACCGACTTTGCTGTTGGATGTACGCAACGTCTTTCTCGACAAAGATCACTCATTTAATCCATTGACTCCATTGGAACGAAAGCTAATAATAGGAACCGTGGGAATCTTGCCCGTGGAGCCAGTTGGCCGTGTTGGTGCTAATGTCTATGCTCTCAATGTCCACGCTGGTGGAGTTGTCGACTGAGAGTTCAGCCCTTTTGATCCCAACACTCTTATTACTGGATCTGAAAACGGTGAGGTACTTACCATCTAGCGATGACGCTCAATGCTGTCTCAACATTATGTGTACAGCACTCTTTATTGACTGAAAATGACCATTCCATGTTCAGGTCAAAATATGGAGGATCTCCAGCAGAGAAGACAACTCTAAATTTAGCTATAGAACGTTCAGGGGGCGTCTTTTTTACGAACAGGGCAGAAGGGGCTGAGATATTTTGGAATTCAAAATGAGATGTGGCTCCACACACCACACCGATTAGGTATTTACAGTACGGTTCAAAACTGACCGCATGTTCTGAAGTAAATTTTGTTTATTTTAATATCTCAATGGATTGTGATTCGACTGCAATGAAGGTTGGCGTCATGGTAGCCCTTGATCTCGTGAATGATACTGCTAACTTGGAGGTCGATATCTAGTCCCAATATAGTGATAGCAGTGTCCTAGTTGCCACGGGTCATTCGGTCAGTTTTGAACCTATTTGCTGATCTCCACAATTCTTTACCAATTGCTATTTAAAACTTATTTTGATTAATGTATATGTCGCCGAGATGCCACGATATTGATTTCGTCGGTTAAGCTCGCTCCTTGAGACGTACACACAACAAAATGTGACATGGATTTTGTATGGAAAATAAATATTTTTCTATCCTGTGCTTCAACCACTGATCCGAATAACATCCCCTTCTATGGTTTCATAGCACACATCATTGGTAATGTTATTCTATGGTTGTAATGAATATAGGTCAAACCACGATGAAACTGTAAACAAATTACTTCAAAACATAGTAACAATAGTACTTTCTTTGGTAATTTGTTGATTGTATTGCAGCAATTTGACCTATATTCATTACAACCATAGAATAACATTACCAATGATGTGTGCTATGAAACCATAGAAGGGGATGTTATTCGGATCAGTGGTTGAAGCACAGGATAGAAAAATATTTATTTTCCATACAAAATCCATGTCACATTTTGTTGTGTGTACGTCTCAAGGAGCGAGCTTAACCGACGAAATCAATATCGTGGCATCTCGGCGACATATACATTAATCAAAATAAGTTTTAAATAGCAATTGGTAAAGAATTGTGGAGATCAGCAAATAGGTTCAAAACTGACCGAATGACCCGTGGCAACTAGGACACTGCTATCACTATATTGGGACTAGATATCGACCTCCAAGTTAGCAGTATCATTCACGAGATCAAGGGCTACCATGACGCCAACCTTCATTGCAGTCGAATCACAATCCATTGAGATATTAAAATAAACAAAATTTACTTCAGAACATGCGGTCAGTTTTGAACCGTACTGTAAATACCTAATCGGTGTGGTGTGTGGAGCCACATCTCATTTTGAATTCCAAAATATCTCAGCCCCTTCTGCCCTGTTCGTAAAAAAGACGCCCCCTGAACGTTCTATAGCTAAATTTAGAGTTGTCTTCTCTGCTGGAGATCCTCCATATTTTGACCTGAACATGGAATGGTCATTTTCAGTCAATAAAGAGTGCTGTACACATAATGTTGAGACAGCATTGAGCGTCATCGCTAGATGGTAAGTACCTCACCGTTTTCAGATCCAGTAATAAGAGTGTTGGGATCAAAAGGGCTGAACTCTCAGTCGACAACTCCACCAGCGTGGACATTGAGAGCATAGACATTAGCACCAACACGGCCAACTGGCTCCACGGGCAAGATTCCCACGGTTCCTATTATTAGCTTTCGTTCCAATGGAGTCAATGGATTAAATGAGTGATCTTTGTCGAGAAAGACGTTGCGTACATCCAACAGCAAAGTCGGTACGCATACTTGAACCAACATGTTTGAAAGCGATTCAAGAATGGCTAACCTTGACGAGCTGGGCTGTGTCTGAGGACGCATTGGCCGAGGGCTTTACATCAGTGTAAGCCTCCTGAGAGAGAGTTTTGAAGTTCAATGAGGTGTTGTAGTAGTTTTGGGATGATTTCTGGGGAGGTGAAAGGATCATGCTACTCTCTTGTGCCCAGCGCCGGGCATTTCCCAAGTATTCTCCCGGTGTGGCACTGCATTCCCAGGAATATGCATGCCGATGCATACAATGGCGGACGCCCATTTCCAAAATAGACGACGAGTCGAGAGGCTCGGACGTTTCTGCATCCCTATTCGTCCGGCTCGCGCTTGCATCATACGACATCATTAGCAACGAGTTACTTCGACAGATGTGCGCAGTCATATATTTAGGCTGGGCCCCTAGTTAGCGCCGTCCGCAAGCGAGGTAAAAAATAGCTTCGCTTGGCCAAACATGATAAGAACCAAGTATTTATTAAAAGGGTCTTGTTTTTGTTTCAACCCATCATCATCGCGCTCATCCTTCTTTCTTATCTTTTTCAAGAACCCTTGCTCACAATCAACATGCGTTTCGCAATTGCTTGCCTCGCCGTGCTGTTGGCTACGGTCTCGACCATCAAAGCTCAAGACCAATTGATCGAATATGGAATCTGCTCGTGCTTCAACCCCAAGTATGACGCTTCGTGCTGTATCGTTGCTAAAGGCAGCATGTACGAAAACGTTTGCGACACTCCGGACTTTGACTCTTCGGTTGAAGCTTACAAAGCCTGCTGCTCCAAGTCTGGCGGCCGCATCAAGTGCAAGCCGGGCTACCGTGACCCCAAGAATCCTTGGCCCCCAAAGGGATCATACAGCTGCAGCAAGCCTTAGATATAACCGCGGCAGTTTTGCTGATGATTTTGTAACAATCATGTCGATGTTTCCCTTCTAGTGGGATCTCACTCCTCACAATAAAGTACATGGATCGACTTAACTGAGTAAGAAAGAGCCTATGGATGGGTGTTGTTGATCTTGTTTCGACGAAGAACTGTTGGTGTGGCTAGAGATTCGTGTGCCTTGTTGTAAAAGTGTAATTGCTTCCGTGACCAAACCTTGGCACGGTTGCTCTCTCTGTGGTGTATTCACCACATTGTCTTGCTTATATAGAGCACCCTATTTTCCTTGGATTCACCAGCACTCGGTACCGATCCTTTATGAAGCGCACTGTGCCTCTGGGACTTTCCCCTATGTCCCTAGTTCCCTATACTAGATGCATTTATAGCTATCCTCTAGTATATAAGGCACGATCTGCCACTGTTAAAAGGATATATCGTTTTTCACAAACTTATCGTCCATATACTTCTCATCCCTGGCGAAACAAAAGAAGATAGTAGGCATTCATGATATACGAGCAGAATTTATTTCACTTTTTCCTTACGGGAAGTTTCTGGATTTTCGCAATAAAAGAAGATAACACATATATGGTTCTGGCCCGAAGGATAATAATTCTGAAGAGAGTGCACATTGGGCGTATTATTCATTGTTAATTCCTGAGTAATCGGCCGGTTGCATTTTCTTAGCGGGTGTAGGTGGTAGCGGATGGTGAGGTGGTCCGGAATTCGACGTTACAAGTTGCCACGCAGCAAGAAGCAAACTCATGTTACTGTGTGGTGTTGGAAAGGCTCCAGGTTGCTTGGCCTTGTCCAATAGCTGCTGGAGAGTCAGCTGAGTCGAGTCCTGGTCATTTGTCTTTTGAGTTAGTGCCGTTGTCTTTGATGTCATAGCGGGAGCAGTTGTTCGTTCCTTAGACGATCGTCCTGTTGTCGCTGCTATAGCTGCCTGAGCAGGCCTGATTTCCTTTGCTTGCGGTGCTTGGAACGTCTGTGTGGGGGTACTACATGTACAAACAATCTTCATCATCTCCTACGTACAGTGCATCATGGTCTTGAACTGGGCCTCAGCTCTCTCTCGGTCCTGACGCATTTGCTCCAGGATCGCGGCAATAACATCTGTGTTTGTGTTGAGCGCCGTTTCCTCCACAATGGCGCCACTGGTGCCTGCGTTGGTCGATGCAGCCTGTGCGGGTTGTTCCTGGGTGTTGATGCTGGGGACTTTGGCGTACGACCGCGAAGCGTTCACTCGCAGCGGTTGTCCTTGGCTGTATTTCCTCACTGCCTCTACATGAAAATATTGTTCCTTGTACTCGGTACGCGTCTTACAATCGGCTCTGAGATGCCTACTCGAGCCACATGAGTAGTAATCTTTGTGCTCAGTCTTGCACTACTCCAAAACCCTGTCTCCTAGCTTGATAGGGTTGGCTGTTGCAGTTCTCATATCTTCTTCAAAATTGAAGAAAACATACGCCTCTCGTCGGTACTTTATTTGATTATCCACAAATACTATGGGTATATCAATATAAATTGCCTTCAAGTCTAGCAAGTCCGATAGGTCGAGAGGGCTTGTCTGAGAAGGTAAGCCCGCCAGTTTGTAGACGTGCCTCGTGTTCCATTGCAAAGACACGTCACCAAGAAGACCCAGTCTAGCATGCTTGAGAAGTAACGTGGTTG